CCATACTCCCTCATCCCTCATTCTCGGAATCCAACGGGACGCTCTGTACACAGCAGACTGTCCCGATGGGAGGAGGATTTTTAAGGGTGAGGGGGTGAGTCTCTGCGGTCGTCACGAAGCTAACGCGATAGCACTGTGCTGCGAGACAATCCACCAAATTCTTTTCTCTCCCTCTCTCTCTCTCTCTCGCCCGCTCACTCGCTCGCTCAGTCGTGACCCTTGTTCTGGACAGAACGACATCGGTATCTGACGTGCGTCTTGTCGTGTACTTTTGAGTACTCGATTACTGGGCCTCGTTAACCACGGAAGATGAGACGCTAACGTCCGCAGTAAGACAGGCGACTGACGCTGCTGCTGTTTAACTACCGTGCTGCGTACACACACACACACACACACACACACGGTTGTTCTGTCCGTTTGTGTTTTCCTGCCTTATCCAATCAAGGTCGCCCCCGCTTTCCCCCCCTAGTGGACAAAAGCTGAAGTAACGTCAGCCAGTCAGTGTTTCTGTTTGTATTTAAATCCTGTATTTTATTATTTTCTTCGTCCAACTGCCTCTAGTCCATTAATATTATTAACAATAATGACCGGGGCGGTCAGCATTTCCTGAGTTTAGTAAGTTATGTACAGTATAATTTATTTTTCTCCTCTTTACTGGGTTTCTACGACCACACGAATCTCGTTGTTTCCTTTTTAGCTGTAGGTGTTTTTTAGATCTAAACAAAAAAAAAAAAAGCTGTCGTTTTTACCTTTTTTCTCTGTTTCACCTCGTTGGTCGACCTCCGTCTCCAACGCGTTTATTCTTCGGTGTCAATCCTCTGAGCGGAGTCAGGACAACGAGCTGGACACACAGTCTCGACGCCAGCCCTCCTCCGAGCTGAAGACCCCCCCCCGACCCCCCCGGCGTGTCGGCAGCCATTTTTGAAGAAGCACTCAGACTCTGTGCAGTCATAGAAAAAAAAAGAAAAAGAAAAAACATGAAGAACATTTTTTTTATATATATATTAAATGTTATTATAATTTTATTTGTAATGGTTATTATAATGTGAACCTTTCTCTGTTTGATTTGTATTTTTTTCTTCTTTTTTGGAATCAGTTTAATCATTTTGGAAACTGTATTCCGTGAACAAAGTCCCTGTTTACTTGTTTGGCCGCCTCACTGAGACACAGTGGAACATCATTGGAACGGACACACACACACACACACACACACACACAATCCTAAAACAAAGAGATTAGTCTGACAACCACACAAATCCAATGCTGTTTTTTTTGTGGATTTTGCATTTGAAACAAACACTTTTTTTGTGGTAAAAGTTTTTTTTTTTCTTCTTCTTCATTCAGAGTAAAACAGTGTTTTCCCTCCTCCACCGATGGCGTTCCACTGTGCGTGTGTACGTGTGTGTATGTGTCCGTATGTTGGTGGTTGTGTGTGTGTGTGTGTGTGTGTGAGACGACCTACGGTATCTTTTAAAATTTCACTTTGCTTTGTTTGAGCTCCACAGGAGGCCACAGGAGCCGTGACTACTCTTCAGGTGTGTGTGTGTGTGTGTGTGTTTTCACATCACGATCATTCTGACTATTGACGTTTCGCTGCGCCTCACGCGATGAGCCCGTGGGTCTTTATTTTTGCTGTACAGTCGGGCCCTGCTGTCACGCCATGATTCAACCCCATGCTGTAAAAGGTGGTGGTGGGGGGGCGTAATCTGAGTGGGTGGGGCATTAGGATTAATCAAATCGATCATCAGTCATCCCTGCTGGCAAGGTCTGTCCCCGTATGAAGACAATGAAAATGATGATGATGATGATGAAGATGATGATGATATTATTTAAGACAATCAAAGTCATGAGTGGAGCTCAAAACAAAGTATGAATTATTACGAAGTTTTTAAAAAGAAAAAAAAATATCCTACCATCTCAACTTGAAAAAAAATCGAGAAATAATTATGTAAATATAACATAGAGTTATAGATTTATATTTTGTTCATAACACAGTGTAATATAAGTTGTATATTTCTTTTCTCTCTCTCTCTCTCTCCCTACTGTCTATTTTATTGATGTTATCAACGCCACAAAAGCAGGAGTTGCAGTAACTCTCACAAAAAAATTCAAAGAAATAAAGAAAAAGAAAAAAAAAAAAAAAAAAAAGCTGTGGGCTGCCACCACCATCTGTTCTAAATTCACTTTTTTTTCAGTATTACTGCCAAACAAGGCTCTAATAAAGACAGCAATGTGTTCAGTAAAACTTCCACTGGTCCTGGTCACTTTTTTAACGCCTTCACTCAAAGGGTTTTACACTTTAAATCCACCACGGAAGATATGTTTGTGATACGTTTATATGGATTTACATATTTAAACATATAAATATACACACACACACACATATATATATATATACATATAAATATTTATATATATAAACACATGCGGTATATGCATATAAATATACTGTATATTTGCACACACATACAGTATGTGCACACGTGTGTATATGTCCATATAAATATATCTCTACATACAGTACATATATGTATGCATATAATAGTGCTATTTATCTAAATATACACACACAGCATATATACATAAATATATATATACATACATACATATATATACATATAAATATATATAAACACATGCAGTATATGCATATAAATATACTGTATATTTGCACACAAAGTATGTGCACACGTGTGTATATGTCCATATAAATATATCTCTACATACAGTACATATACTGTATGTATGCATATAATAAAGTGCTATCTATCTAAATATATACACACGTACAGCATATATACATAAATATTTATATATATACATACATACTGTACATATATGCATATATGCATATATGTATATATAAATATATATATATATGTATAAACATATAAAAACATAAATATATATATATATGTCTATATATATTAGCAACTATGGACACACATAACCTGACAACTTTTTTTTGTTTTTTTGTATGTTTACGCATCATTTTAACAACAAAACTCACTGTTTTTTTGGGAAACACTCTCTACTGCCCCTCTGTGGAAACTACAAGCAGCTCTGTGGCAACACTGGCTCTGGTTCCAGTCGAGTCCATTATTTACTGACCACCCACCTCCTCCCACCCAGTATGTTGCGTGCAACCATGTGCCAACGTGCCGCAGCGCAGGCCCTGCCCGTGTGCTGCTGAGCAATTCAATCATCTCCATAACAACACCTTAAATATGTTTTAAGTCCACTTTTTTTTTTGGCCGTCCAATCGAAGCGTCAAAATGATAACCTAATGAAGCACAACAACAAGGAGCATGGGGGAGAGTGGGAGAGGGGGGTGTTTTATGTGTATATATTTTCTTTAGGCCTGTGGAGGGGGCAGGTGACGGGGCAGGTGACGGGGCAGGTGACGGGGGCAGGTGACGGAGGCAGGGGACGGGCAGCCACCTGTGCTGTTGTTGCCAGTTCGGGGGTAAATCTTTAATTGATGTCTCTTAAGGAGAACGATGATGAGAGAGATTCATTTTTAAGGCTTTAAAAACACAAAAACCCACTCAGCGCGCCCGTAAATGTGCCGTCCCCATCTGTGTCCATATGTTCCTCCGTGACCCCCCCTGAACCCCTCCACCACTCGCCGTTCGGCCGACATAAAAAATAAAAACAGTCAAATGCACTCAGAGGACATCGTTTTTATGTGATTCACTAATTACCGCAGGTTTTTTCCACACACACGAAAAAAGAAAACTCCTTTGATGCGATAAAGCGCGGCGGCGAGGGCAGAGTGAAAGACGGAGTTGTTCTCCAGGCGTTGTGAATTTTTCAGTGGCCGCCTGCAGGCGAAAAAAAAAAAATAAAAACCTGAGAACAAGGTTTTCTGTCTGAATCGTTGAGGATCCCGAAGATGAAGACTACGAGTTTTTTCTTCTTCCTTTATTGTCAGCAAAGAACAAGACGCTGGAGGAAGTGAATAGTGACTAGACTCACAGATTAAATCACACACACACACACACACACACACGCGTAAACAATCCCGCTGCCTCTTCACAGCCTAAGGTGCGCTGTAGGAGTTAGCTCAGCTTAAACCGCTGCGTATTTCCATCACAATAGTCCAGACAAAAGAATCTGAACCGACGCGGCGAGAACTTCACGTTTAAAGCCAAGTTTTTGTTGTTTACTTTTTTTAAATATCATTTTCTCAAACTTTTCTAACCAAAGATACGAGAGTTTAATCTGTTCCACGACAGAACTCGTGTCTCCATCGAATTTTCTCCATTAAAAACCATAAAACTACAAAACCAATTAATTCGTTCCAGTTGCCCAGAAATATACTATTAATTAATTCAATTAAAATGTCCTGCCTCTTTATCTACACATCAAAAACATAAATATAAACAAATATATTGATAATATAAAATAATAATTAAGAAAACATATTTATTTTATTGTTTTAAAAATGGGTTAAAAAAAAGTGAGCGAGACAGAGTGGCATCAAACTGAACAGTCACCGATGGTAAAGGTGATGGGTTAAAAACTAATGCCTTGCTCATCATCATTTTTAACTGGTCGCAGTTGTTGAAGGTCAGTGAGTACCAACAAGTAGGGATGAAAAAAAAAAACACAGAACTACAGTTGTCCCACTGACATCAAGACTGCTTCACTGCCAGGCTCAAAATATCATTTCCAGTGCTGTGCAACATGCACTGGTTACTCATTACACAATACAGCGGCTACTGCTTTATGTACTGCTGTAATGGATATTACTAGGTACTGGGAGGTACTAATAGAAACAGGTACGTGGCTACCTGTACACATTATTATATTTTTTTCTTTGGGGGGGGTCACACCTTTGTGCTGCCTGTCCCTTTCACACTGTCACTGGACCGTTCAGGTTCAGACTTAACCAACGTCATGATTTTGAACTTCCGAGTGGTGTTTTGTTATTGGACTTCTGTGCTAGTCACAGTTTGTCCATAACAAACACCATGTTCAAGCATAAAGGTGTCCACCAGTGCACTTGGCACCAGGACACCCTAGGCCGGAGGTCAATGATCGACTTTGTAGTCGTGTCATCTGACATCCGGCCGTATGTATTGGACACTCGGGTGAAGAGAGGGGCTGAGCTCTCAACTGATCACCACCTGGTGGTGAGTCACCAAACAGCCCGGCCCAGCGCAGAAATCTTCTCCAGCAGGTTTTTTTTTTGTTTTTTTTTTCTTAAGAATGAGTTTTTATTAGTGTTTATTTATGACCACAGAATAAATTCCTACAGATTTACAATCCACGACCTCCGAGCCATTTACAGTGATTGCAGTGCCACCATTAGGTAGATTGAGGTCTTTTGTCTTTTTTATGATCTATCATATCGGTAGTGTAATCTTCAGATATCAAAAGGAAGAGAGAGAGAGAGAGAGAATCACTGTACATTGTATTTTATACAACTGGAAACCAGACAGAAAACTTTTCAGTTACACAGTATTTATCTAAATTTATGGAGTTGTTTTTCAAAGTATTTCTTAATTATTTTGAGCTGATTTTTGTTGTTTTTACTTTTTATTTCCAATCTTATCAACTATCAACTTATATAAAACAGCAACATAAATAAAAATCCAGAAACTTCCTAAACGTCTGCACTCAAACATGATCCATGAAAAAAAAAAAAATCACCTGAGTTAAAAATTAGGCAAATATTTCATTACAGTCATTTTCTATTTTTTTCTTTTTGTTCATTTTGATGATTAAAAGTGAGGAGAGCTCCGTGGCCGGGCGTCAGAGTCAGGAGGCTGACGCATTAGGAGTCCATAAAACTGATCCCATAAGAGTAAGAGCCTGCACTCAGACCGTAAAATCAAGTAAGTGCCGTCGTTAGATTCCAAGTAAAATATAGACATGTAAAAAATAATACGGTGTACACACTGATACGCACGGAGATACGCAGAGTATATCCAGTGAAACTGGTTGTACTTTGAACAAGTACTGACTTTGCACAAACGCTTTTGAGAGGAAGATCATCATCATCACTCCATCAGCTTCGGTCTCACCTGAGAAAATGTCAGAAACTTTCTCTGATGTATGAACTGCGTGACAGATTTCTGCTGCTCCTGAAGTTTAAAAAAAAACAACAGAGTGACATTTACGTGCAACTTAACTTGAAAATAATCACGATAAACAAATTTGCACCAGTGAAACGTTCCGGAACGAAACGTCAGATGTTAGCGTGTAGGTGGGCCGACCACACGAGAGCAACGCAACTTTTTTTTTTTAACAGCACCTTAAAAACACCATGCTCACCGAGCAGCAGTATCACAGCGAGATAAAGAAGACCGTGGGCGCTTTAACGTCACTCCACCGAATTTTTTTTTTAAAGGAATAGGAAAAAAAAAAAACATGTAAAAACTGTTATTTTCTCTCCCCATCAACACCCCAATGCACACATGCAAATATTATGCTAATGCTATGTTAATTGGTGGAGTAGCTGCAAAGCAGCCCTGCTGTTCAAATGACTGGTGAGAAAATAGGTGGGGTCAGTCGCAAGCTGTAAAAGCAGCTCCAACACAAATAAACAAAACCCTCGGGGATTAACAGAACAAGGGCCGGTGATAAACGGATGAGAGGAGAGACGGGGAACACAACGGGCTGGAGGAGAGGGAGACACGGGAACGAGCTACGGGAGATAAGGA